CTCAGACATTAAAGCAGCAACAAGAGTCACTTGACTGTGCTAAGGACAAGGTGAAATTAACTCAAGAGGCGATCCTCGCCATCAGTAGTGCTCCACCGTTTGGACGAACCAAGTGGGTGAACAGTTGAAGATGTTGAAGTCAAATTTGAGGGTGACTAAAGAGAGGCTAGGAAGCTTGAATCCTTTTTTTTAGGCATGTCTGCGACTCTTTTGCTCGTTTCTTCATGTAATAAGGCTCAAGGTTATGGAATGGATGATTTGTTCTCTTTTACATCATGTAGTCTCGAACATTAGCATTTGTTGCACTTCATTTCCTCGTCAAATCAACCGAACTTGACTAACTTAGAAGACGAATATAATTTATGACTGAACTTAGAAAATATCTAAGCTGCCTACGTACCTTTAAAAGGATCAAGTCATAACGTAGTTCAAAGTGACATAACATGGATTTGTTTATGGGGGGTGTCGTGCACAGTTTATACTCATGCGGGCCAGGAGCGACTATTTTTTAACTACTTTAGACAAAGTAGAGTATTAGGTTTAACCACATAACACCTTAGTGGGAGAATTAACAGTTTAACCACATATATTCACATTGGTGGAGAATTTAGTAGTTTAATCACATGCAAAGCTTTTTGGTGATTACCGTTCACAGTTTATACTCATGCGGGTCAGGAGTTTTTTTTTTATTTATTTATTTTTTTTAATACGACATACAACTAAGCGTAGTAGCGCTTCAAGAATTTCCCATTGATAGGGTCAATCTTGACTCGATCCTCCGAAATCAACTTATACGCGCCATTGGTGTAGACCTCCGTGACGACATATGGTCCATCCCATCTTGACACGAACTTGTTTCCAACACGATGAGTGGTTACGATGGGTCTTCTCACAGCAAGCACCAGATCTCCTACTTGAAAAGAACGGGCTCGGACCTTCTTATTAAACGACTTTGAAAGGCGGGCTTGATAACATTCAAGTCTTTGTTGCGCTTCCAACCTACTCTCATCAAGAGCTTCTAATTCCTGAAGACGCAGCCGTGCATTATCTTCCTCGATCAACCCTTCTTGTATGGCGATCCTCAATGATGGGATTTGTTGCTCGAGGGGAACGACAGCTTCAACACCATATACCAACGAGTACGGAGTCGCTTGAGTGGGAGTCCGATAGGTGGTACGATATGCCCAAAGCGCTTCATGAATTCTTTCGTGCCAATCCCTCTTTGACTTGGCTACGACTTTCTTCAAAAGACTACACAAAGTCTTATTGAATGCTTCAGCAAGTCCATTGGCCGCTGAATTGTACATAGAAGACTTTCTTTGCTTAAAGTTGAACTTCTCACAAAGCTTATTAATCAAACTGTTGCTGAAATGCTTCCCATTATCCGTTATTATGTACCAGGGAATTCCATACCGGTAGATGATGTTTATACAAATGAAGTCAGCAACATTTTCTTTCTTCACTTCTTTGAAGGGAACCGCTTCAGCCCATTTTGAGAAGTAGTCAGTCGCAGCCAAAATATAAAGATGACCACCCAAAGACTTTGTCAGAGGACCAACCACATCTAATCCCCAAGCATCAAAAGGCCATGAAGCGACAGTAGGGTGCAACGGCTCAGGAGGCTGATGGATCAAATTTGCATGAAATTGGCACGCTTGACATCTTTGGGCGTAATCCATACAATCTCTAACCATTGTCGGCCAGTAGTACCCCATTCTCTTAATTCGAAAGTGCAGCTTCGGACCAGACTGATGAGCGCCACATATGCCCGAGTGAGCTTCTTCCATGGATTGAGCAGCTTCTTCGTCGCCTAAGCATCTCAAGAACACTCCATCGAACGACCGTCTATACAAAACATTATTGAAATAAATGAAGCGAGGTGAACGACGTCGAATATCAACCCTTTGTCGTGGGTCGTTGGGCAACTTGTCATACTTTAAGTAGTCCACGAGCGATTGGCACCAATCTTCCTTCTCAATTTCGAATACTTCAACAAAATGAATTACATCTTCATTCCAATCATCGTCGTCGAAAATTGAAGGTATAACCCAACTTCTACAAATTTGCACTCGAGCCTTATCCTCGGGGAGAATTAGTGAAGAAGCGAGTTTTGCCAAAGCATCTGCTTGTTTATTATTCTTTCTCGACACATGTTCGATCGTAACATCTCCAAGCCATCCCATGAGCCTTTTCGCATAGTCGATATACGGGAGCAACTCAGGCTTCTTTACATCGTATTTTCCAAGCAGTTGGTTGACCACTAACTTTGAATCGCCATAGACCCTCAGATGTAGTTGCTTCATGTCCACGGCCATCTCCAACCCTAGAATTAGAGCTTGATACTCCGCAACATTGTTTGAGCAATTTTCAGTCAAAGTGAAGGAATATGGAAGCACTTCTCCATGGAATGTCACAAAGACGACTCCAGCACCAGCTCCTTCTCTATGGGACGCTCCATCAAAGTACATCTTCCAAGGTGGAGTAATTTCAATGAGAAGAACGTCTTGATCGGGTAGTTCATCGGACAACTCCCATTCAGCAGGAAGAGGGTGATCAGCTAGGAAGTCCGCCAGAACTTGTCCTTTTACCGCCTTTTGAGGGATGTAGACGATTTCAAACTGTTTAAGTTGAAGATACCACCTAGCTAAACGATCTGAGAGGACAGGTCTTGTCATGACATATTTTAATGGATTCTCCCTTGAAACAAGACGGACCGTATGAGCTTGAAAATAATGCTTCAACTTTTGAATTGCAAATATCAATGCCAAACATATTTTCTCAATCGGAGAATAGTTCAGCTCGTTCGGCGTCATCGTTCTGCTCAAATAATATAACGCACTCTCCTTTCCATCGTTATTTTCTTGAGCCAGCAAAGCTCCAACAGAGCGTTCTTGTGCCGCTATGTAGAGGATAAGAGGACGACCAGACACTGGTGCAACTAACACGGAAGACTTCATCAGATATGCCTTTATGCTTTCGAAAGCATTTGTACAAGATTGATCCCACTCAAAAGGAACACCTTTCTTCATTAAATGACTAAAAGGTTGGCATCGTCCGGCTAGATTTGAAATGAACCTTCGAAGATACGCCAACTTTCCTTGCATACTTTTAAGCTCGTGAATGTTGCGAGGCTCGGGCATTCTTAGTATCGCGTCGACTTTTGCTTGCTCGATCTCTATTCCACGGTGACGAACAATGAACCCAAGAAACTTCCCCGACTTGACACCAAATGCACACTTCAGCGGATTTATCTTGAGTTGATATCTTCTTAGGCGTTCAAAAACCATCCTTAAATCTTGTAAGTGGTCTTCTCGCTTCTTCGACTTTACCACCACATCATCAACATAGCATTGGATGTTCTTGTGGAGTATGTCATCAAACACTTTTTGCATTGCCCTTTGATATGTAGCTCCAGCGTTCTTCAAGCTGAATGGCATCACCTTGTAGCAGTATATACCCTTTGGAGTGCGAAATGCCGTCAACTCTTCGTCTTTTGGAGACATGCGTATTTGATTGTATCCTGACGAACCATCCATAAAAGACAACGCTTCGTGTCCAGTCGTAGCATCAATCATAAGCTCAGTTATAGGCAACGGGAAGTCGTCCTTAGGACACGCCTCGTTAAGGTCTCGAAAATCCACGCACACTCGAATTTGGCAATTTTTCTTCCTGATCGGAACGATGCTCGAGATCCACGTGGGATATTTGACTTCACGAATGAATCCAACTTCAATGAGTTTATTTAATTCAGCCTCGATCAATGGGATCAACTCAGGTCGGAATCTCCGTTGTGCTTGTTTAACAGGTTTTGCCCCCTTTCTCACGGACAAGTTATGCACCGCCACCTTTGGGTCTAGTCCAGGCATCTCCTTATACGACCATACGAATACATCCTTAAACTCACCAAGAAGCTCTATGTAGGCCTTTTCTTCATCTACAGTTAGCAAGGCACTGATGTACGTCGGGCGAGGATCGTCAACATCACCCAAGTTGATTTCTTTTAGTTCATCGACCGTGGCCTTAACACCTTCTTCAAGCTCGGAAGATGCGTCTTCAGCATCTTCCTCCTCTATTGGAGCATCCTCGCATATAGTGATATGGTTCACAGGTGCAATATCTTCGGTCGGCTCACCAAGAACTTTGAAGTCGATACATGCTCGCACCCGTCCATTTCTTCCCGTGACAAATCGTGTTCGCACATTTTCATCAACTCCAACGATATACCTTTTTCTCACCAAATAAGTTATCTTTTGGTGAAGAGAATGTTCATAATTTCGAGGAGTTGTGAGAGTACCGCAAGCATAATAAGACGAAGCAACACTTTCTCTATCATCATCTTCATCATCATGTACTCTTGTATGAACGATCGTGTGCATTTTTGCTTTTAAAACTTCACCACGTGATATGATCAAGGTAGTTTGACGTTTCATACGTGACGGAATTAGACTTCTAAGCTTTGGAGCTGGGCCTACACCTTTTTCTTGTCTTAAAGGCTTCGACTGCTCGAAGGATCCCAGTCGTTGAAACACAGATTGTCTGCCTTTTGACTTTCGCACCGGACCGAGTCTTTGAAACACCGACACTCTTTTCTCTTTATTTTCACCGTCAGAAGACGAGAACTCTCCTTCCGAGACATGGTTGGCGTTTGCTCTCTTGATGGCAATTCTAATTGGACTCGATGCCACATATCCAAGACCTGTCCGGTTGTGCTTTTGCTCTTGAGGTATGAGCTTTCCCAAAGAGCGACTTTTATTGGGATTGTATCCTGCTTTGACGAGAAGCTTGTAGGCTTTTGGATCAAAACACTTAGAGTTCTTCAATCCTTCACTATGCTCCGTCACAGCTCCTTTTCTTGGACGGACAAAGTTCATGGGTGGTTAGGAGATAGGTTTCTCGTCATCTACCTTCGGCAGCGGCAACACTAACTCTTTCAAAGAGTTTTCTACCTCTTCAATCTTTGATTCTTCACTTTCAGACCCTTTATGCTGCTTAGACGAGACTTTCTCAACAGGTTTTGCATCATTGAAATAGTATTTGGCATCAGCGAAATGAGTTTCAGTCTCCGTAAAAGGTTTATCATCACCAAGCACAGTCTTCACAACGCCATTTTTGCAATATTTGAAGCATTGATGCCATGTGGACGGAACCACACCATTCTCATGAAGCCATGGACGACAAAGAAGCATATTGTAAGAAGTTTTTGCATCGATGACATGAAACATAGCAGTTGATTCCATATCTTCCATCAGCAACCTCAACCTTATGATGCCAAGAGCTCTTTGCCCCCCTTGGTTAAAGCCTTGAATCATCAGTCGACTATTACCAAGTTCTTCCGTAGTCATTATTAACTCTTTCAGCGTGCGAAGAGGCAAGATGTTGACTGCTGATCCTCCATCAATCAATATTCGATTAATCTTTTGCTCTTGCACATATCCGGCCACGAACAAGGGTCTGTTGTGAGGCTTAGAACCAAGCAGCAGATCTTCATCAGTAAAGACCATCATGGAATCATTATCAACATGGTGATTTTCAACCTTAGGCAAATTGTTTTCTTCTAGCGGAGCTTCGTGCTCATTTGTCATATTGCAAGCTTCACTTATATGATTAGCAGTTGCACTGCTTTCTTCCAGTGAGATTTTTCCTTGGCGTGTCAGCTGCATAACCTTGTCCTTGAATACGAAACAATCATGAATTGGATGCCCTACAAGACGGTGGTATTTGCAATATTTTGGGTCGTTCACCCTGCCAGCTTCTTCAGGACGCTTCATCTCAGGTAACTCAATGAGTTTTGCTTCCATCAGATCGTCAAATATGCCAGAGACGTCTGAATCGAGGAATGGATACTGCTTTGCTTGCATTTCTTTCAGAGTCAACCTTCTTTGTTCAATTTTCTTAGGGACATCCTTCTTTTCAACGGTTTTATCAGCAGATTTTCCTTTGAACTTGACAGGCATAGCATTGATCGTCATGGACTTCTTATTTTGAGATTTCGAGGAAAAGTTACCCCATTTCTTTTGCTCGTATCTATCCTTGGAGATTTGGGATTCTTGGATTGGAGGACCATTAGCCCCGCTTGCAGTCATGCTTAGCTCCATATCGTGGGCTCGAGTCGCTAACTCTTCGAATGTTTTCGGCCGAATACCTTGAAGGATGTAACGAAGACCCCAACTCATACCTTGAATGCACATCTCAATGGCAGAAGGCTCAGACAGACGATCTTTGCAATTCAGACTTAAGTTTCTCCACCTATTGATGTAGTCGATGACTGGCTCCTCCTTCCATTGTCGAGATGTAGTGAGCTCGATCATTCTGACTGTACGTCTCGTGCTGTAAAAGCGACTAAGGAATTCGTGCTCCATTTGCTCTCAACTATCGATGGATTTTACTTCTAAATCAGTGTACCAATCGAATGCAACCCCTTTAAGTGAACGAACAAACTGCTTCACGAGATAATCACCATGGGTTCCCGCATCGTTGCATGTCTCGATAAAGTGGGCTATATGTTGCTTCGGGTTGCCTTTGCCATCAAACTGCTGGAACTTGGGAGGTTGATATCCAACAGGCATCCTCAAGTTATCGATCCTTGGTGAATATGGCTTGACGTAGCTGTGGGTTGACTTGGAACCACCATCAAGTTTGTCCTTAATTGTTCCCATGATGAAATCCTTCAGTTGATCAATGGGGATCATTCCCGTGGACGAGTGTTGGAATGGAGTCTTCTCTCTTTCTTCATATTGTTCTTGCTTGGACGTTTCAGACTTCTTCACGATCTTCAGTTCGTTTGCCCTTCGCGTGGCTTGTTTCAGCATTGTCGACCTTGTCCATTAGCTTTGAGATTTGAGAGTCTTGCTCTTCGACTTTCTTTGCGAGTCTTTCAATAACCTTCGTTAAGCTTGCGATGTGCTCTTCCAGAGTTGAAGCATTGGTCGTCATAGCCGGAGCGACACTTGAGCTTGATGAAGAACTTTATGATGAACGAGGAGTTGAAGAAGCAGAGTCGTCTTCATCACCTTCGTGGGTAAGATGCAGCTTATCACTTCCAATCACCTCGTGCAAAGGAGCCGTCTCCGAAGATGTTTGCAGTTGCTTGGCCATGCTTCTTGTAACGATGCTGAGGTTGGAACTTGAGGAACTTGTTGAAGGAATCTTGACTACGGCGATCTTGCGGCTGGTCATGGTGACTTGAGGAACTTTGGAGAAGAGATGAGAGGTAGAGATGTCCCACTAGGCGTGCCAAAAATTTGTAACAACAAATCTCGTGTTATTGAATTTAAAAAACACGAAAAATATTATTCAAATGAATTTCTTGAATCAAAATAAATATAGCGGGTTACAATCTCTATTTTCTCCTCTGATTCTTCTCACAAACTATATTTTAAGTCTTGGGGCGAAATCTTCGGCTTGATCTTCTCCTTGACTTGATTTGACTTGAATCAACGTAATCTGAGGGCTTGAAAGCTTTTTCCCGGATCAAACGTCAAAATATCCCAAGAACGCGAAGAACACGAATCCTTGGTCTTCGCCGCAAAGTAGATCTCAAATCTTCTTCACGCTGTTTTTGAATTTACTAACGTTATTCGGAGGCTTCGCAGCTTGTTTCCGGATTGAACGCTAGTCTTGAGGTTGAATGCGCTTGAATTTTGCTTTGAATCTTCAAGAACGCCTTTGAATCTTCAAGAACACTTGAATCTCGTCGAGAGATCTTGAACTTGAACTTGAATACGAACGTAATTCAGAGGTTTGGTAGCTTGTTTCCGAATTAAACGTCGGTTTTGAACTTGAATGTGCTTGAATCTTCCTTCGAATCTTCAAGAACGGCTTTGAATCTTCAAGAACACTTGAATTTCGTAGAGAGAATTCTCTAGAGCTCTTGAACTTGAATATGAATTATGAGATGTGTTTTTGGCTTTAGAGAGAGCCCCTATTTATAGGTGTAGGGGAGAGGACTCTACCAAAATTAAGAATCGTAGGATGCAATTTGATTGGTCCATGCTGATTCACATAAGACTTTAAGATCTACTTAGATCTCCCAAGATCTTCTAGATCCACTTAGATCTTCCAAAATCTTCTAGATTCACTTAAACCTTCCAAGATCTTCTAAAAGATATGATTTATTTACCAAGAATAAGGATTTGACACTTGGCATTATTTGATTGGTCAAGAATTAAAATATTAAAATATCAATTAATTAATTATTTAAATTTAGGAATTAAATATATGGAAATTCCTAAAATATAAATAGAAAATATGACTTGATTTTTAATAAATTAATTTCCACGTGCCGCCATTTGATTGGACACAAAATTTAT